AAGATCGCACCATTGCACTCCAGCCTGGGCAAGAAGAGCAAAACTCCATCCCCCACCCAAATAAATTTTTTAATAAAACTTAACGTTCATCATTTTAAAAAACTGCCTGAGCGAATAGGAACAGAAGGAAACTTCCTTCGTCAGATGAGGGTTATCCTCCAAATGAAACGGGAGCCTCTGACATCTCTGGTATCAGTCTGTTTGCTTGATCTAACTCAGATCAGCTGAACCTTCTCCTTGCCCAATGCTGAAAGTGTGGAGGAAGTGAGCTTCCCAAGTCATTATTTGTCTCACTACACTCGTATAGATAAATCTATTTGGGATGCTAACTGATAATCAGAAGGTTGCTTGGTGAGAATGCAGTCGGAGGGGAATGGATGAGATGATTTTCTTTTTTTTTTTTTTTTAGGTGGAGTTTCGCTCTTGTTGCCCCGGCTGGAGTGCATTGGTGCAATCTCGGCTCACCACAACCTCCGCCTCCCAGGTTCAAGTGATTCTCCTGCCTCAGCCTCCTTAGTAGCTGGGATTACAGGCATGCACCACCATGCCCGGCTAATTTTGTATTTTTAGTAGAGATGAGGTTTCTCCATGTTGGTCAGGCTGGTTTTGAATTCCCTACCTCAAGTGATCCGCCTGCCTTGGCCTCCCAAAGTGCTGGGATTACAGGCATGAGCCATTGCACCCAGCTGATGAGATTATTTTCATAGCCAATATCTTTTAACTATGAAAAGCTGATATGTACATAGATGGGAACACTGAATGGTATGGTGGCCATTTCTCTTCTGTTAATACATTGTTTCTTTAGACTGAGTGTAATACTGCCATGGCTTTACACATGCTAATACTGTATAGTCATTCTCTAGTTCCGTTGGCTCTGTCATTCAACTTTGGGTCTCTCAGTGAACCAGACTGTTTATTCATGCTACATTTTGTATATCCTATAACCTTTTCTTGGAATGACCTCCCCATCCTTACACCATCTCTTATCTTTGTTCAGTTAGCAAACTCCTATTTCTTCTTCTACAAACCAACTCAAGTATTTTTCCTCTGAAGTTTTCCCTTCTTTATGTTCTAATTGTATCTTGCCTATCTTCTGTAATAGTACTTACCACACTGTATTAAAATGTTCTTAACATTCTACTCAGTAATTCCATTGCTGGGTATAGACCCAAAGGAAAATAAATCATTCTACCAAAAAGACATGTGCACTCATGTTCATCGCAGCACTATTCACAATAGCAAAGACATGGAATCAACCTAGGTGCCCATCAACGGTGGGTTGGATAAAGAAAATATGATACATATACTCCATGGAATACTATGCAGCCATAAATAAGAATGAAATCATGTCCTTTGCAGCAACATGAATGCAGCTGGAGACCATCATCCTAAGCAAATGAATGCAGAAACAGAAAACTAAATATCACATGTTCTCACTTATAATTGGGAGCTAAATCTTGGGTACACATGGACATAAAGATGGACACAGTAGACACTGGGGACTATAAAAGTGGGGAGGAGTGAGGGATAAGATCTAAAAAACACATTGGGTACTATGTTCACTATTTGGGTGATGGGATTAATAGAAGCCCCAAACTCAGCATCACACAATATTCCCATGTAACAAACCTGCACATAGTCCCCCTGAATCTAAAATAAAAATGGAGGCAGGGTGCAGTGGCTCATGCCTGTAATCTCAGCACTTTGGAAGGCTGAGGTGGGCAGATCACTTGAGGCCGGAAGTTCGAGATCAGCCTTGCCAACATGGTGAAATCTCATCTCTACTAAAAATACAAAAAATTAGCTGGGCGTTATGACACGCACCTGTAATCCCAGCTACTTCCAAGGCTGAGATAGGGAAATCACTTCAACCCAGGAGGCAGAGGTTGCAATGAGCCAAGACTGCGCCCCTGCACTCCAGCCTGGGTGACAGAGCAAGACTCTGTCTCATAAAATAAAATAATAAATAAATTTGAAAAACTAGAATTTAAAAAAGAATGTTTAGTTGTCTCTCCATATTAGATTTTGAATTTCTTAGAAGAAGGTTCTGTGGCTTTGTATTTGTACTGCTAGTATTTGAACTCAATGAAATTTTATTAAGTAAAGAAATACATGAATGAATGAAAATGAATAAGCAACAATTGAGTGAGTGAATCCTCCTCAGTAGGGCTCTCCTGTCTTGTCACCACCATGTGTGTTCTCTCCTGAGCACTCGTGAATTCATTCTAGCTGGTAATGAAAACTTTTCTGGTTGGGCACATAGAATTTACAATCAATAGTTAACTCTAAATTGAACTTATAATTGAATTTTATAATGCTTCTACATTCATGGGCATTCAAAATGCTGACTTCCCAGATGCATGTCATAACCTTAATTTTTAATTTCATCCTATTTCTAAGTGACATGGAAGAGAGAAGATGTAGGATGAGTTGAAAATTTTGTGGAATAGCTTTAATTAGGTATGTAAAGGAGCCTGAAAAAAACAATTTAAAATAAGATTCCATTCAGGACCAAGATAGAGTATTAATTCCTAATTAAGTTCAGCAGTTTAATACCCAAGCAAATGAGTGAGAGCAGAGTTGTGGCGAAATGGAGAGAATACTTCTTCCTGACCCTTCACTCATGGCATGTATAGAAAATGATATAATTTATAGCACGCTAGGGTGAATGGATCTGGCTGCTTGCTGTTCTAGGCTAGTGGCTCAAGGGGTCTGGCTGCCCCAGGCAGTGCTGAGAACTAAGGAGACCAGGATCTCAGGACAGCCATAACCCCTTTACAGTAGACTGCTGGGGAAACTCTGAAGCTTAATAAGGGAAGTTGAGTGCACCTGCAAGGACTTATGGTCCTGGTCCCCACCCAACCTAACAAACCAGGAAGGGTTTACAGTAAGAAAGAAAGATATGTGCTATTTAAGTGTCAGAGCTAGGAAGGGTTTACAGTAAGAAAGAAAGATATGTGCTATTTAAGTGTCAGAGCTAGGATTGTTTAGGCCAGTGATTTTTTTTTTTTCTTTTTTGAGACAGAGTTTCACTCTTGTCACCCAGGCTGGAGTGCAGTGACATGATCTCGGCTCACTGCAACCTCCGCCTCCTGGGTTCAAGCGATTCTCCTGCCTCAGCCTCCCAAGTAGCTGGAATTACAGGTGCCCACCATCACGCCCAGCTAATTTTTGTATTTTTAGTAGAGATGGGGTTTTACAATGTTAGCCAGGCTGGTCTCAAACTCCTGACCTCAGGTGATCTGCCTGTCTCGGCCTCCCAACGTGCTGGGATTACAGGTGTGAGCCACTGTGCCTGACCAGGCCAGTGATTCTGAATACATATTGTAGTCACCTGGCAGCTTTTAAAACCTAAAAACATAGCAATGTGCAGACCAGACCCTTGTACAATTAAATCAGAATCTCTGTGGAGAAGGGTATGGGGCAGTATTAGTATTTTTAAAAGACTTTCCACAGGTGATTTTATGTTTCAGAGTTAAAAACCTCTGATATATGCAGAGACTGATGATAAAAACAGTTTACTAAGTGACATAAATCTTACTGTAGATTTTTTTTCAATTGCCTTAGTTTAACACTTAACGTTTAGTGGTTTTAACAGAGGGTTTTTTGTTTTTATTGTTGTAGACAGATGTAAGCCAGTCAGTAGTTGGGATTCATCTCGCATACTCATAGGAGGAAATATGTTTATAAAGTGATGGCAAACGTGGCTGCTGCATTGGTCAGGAATGATAACAGCAGAGGAATTTAAACCCAGCCTTGAGGAGTAGGTAGAATTTACAGTTGCAGAAGTGGAGTATGGTCGGGGCTCTGCATTCTAAATGGAGGAACAGCGTAAGTACAGGTGAGGAAGAGGTAGAAGAGAATTTCAGAGAAGAGCACTGCAGAGTCTAAGATGGGGGCCCAATAGCAAATGAAGGGGCGGCCAAAGCCAGCCGTCTCTGAAGGGATGTGAGACCAGTTCACAGACACAGCCTTTCCACACTCCGGTATCCTATAGCAGCTGAAAATGACCATGCATGCCCAGGCCTCTTTCATCATCTGTCATCAGGAAGGCCTGACTACAGATAACGTTTATTGAGTGAGCACTAACTACATGCCAGGAATGTTCCCTAAGCATTTTGCGTGAATTAACTAATTTAATCTTCACAACAAGCTCATGAGATAGGTTCTATTATTATCCCTGTTTTATAGATGAGGAAAGTGAAGCACAGTAGGCTGATATTTTTTGTGACCTTTCTCTATTCAATGACCTGTTTTCTCTTTATCATGACTCAGAGTTCCCAAGATCTGTTTGCCGAACAGTGAATTATTGTCAAAACAGGAATTTACCTGTAGGGATAGGGTGCAGGTAGATACTTGGAAAGAATATCAGATAGGGATCAGAGAGCTAAGGATTTTGAACATCATTTTTTTTTTTTTTCTGTGGGTATGAAGAATTTGCTGAGAATTTAAAGCAGGGGGTGGCATACTGAGCTGTTTAGTAAAGCCAGTCTGGGAGGATGGGGCACAATGGGTTGCGAGTGAGGGGAAATGAGGTACCTGTGATACCAGCTGACCAGTTAGGAAGTTAATGGCAGTGACTAGGAGGGAAGTGGTGAAAAGCTGGGTAAGTTAGTGATCGTGGTAATGGAGAGAGCACAGATACAAGAGTTATTATGAAGATCCCAGTGACTAGAGTGGGCTTGAGTGACTGCTGCGTCCCGAGGAGATCAGGAAGGCAATCCTGATGAGAGAAGGTGGTATGTTTAACTTTAGCTTTTTTGAGTTTGTGGAATAGTGAGTCATTCCAGCCTGGGATGTGTCATTGTATTGGGTATCCTGACTTTGGTTTTTAAACTTTATTTGATATACATCCCTCTTTTTGACATGGATGGCAATATTGATGTCTATGTTTTAATTTCACATTAATCCTTTACCTGGTAAAAATATATTTACTTATTGTATTAATTAATTGATATTATATTATTATAATAATATATAATTAATATTATTTGCTGCAGGTTGTCAGACCAGGATGAAGAGGGAAAGATCAAGCAGGAGTGTATCATATCTGACCCCTCATTTTCCATGGTGACAGTCCAAAGGGAAGATAGTGGGATAACCTGGGAAACCAATTCAAGTAGATCTTCTACTCCTTGGGCTTCAGAAGAAAGTCAGACTTCCGGTGTGTGTAGTCGAGAAGGGTCAACTGTGAATTCTCCTCCTGGAAATGTTTCCTTTATTGTGGATGAAGTGAAAAAGGTTCAGAAAAGGACTCATAAGTCAAAGCATGGTTCACCATCATTACGCCGGAAAGGCAACAAAAAAAGAAATTCATTTGAATCCCAAGATGTTCCAACAAACAAAAAAGGCAGTCCTTTAACTTCAGCAAGCCAGATACTAACCACGGAGAAAGAGAAGTCATATACTGGTGTTTATGATAAAGCAAGAAAAAAGAAGACCCCTTCAAATACACCTCCGATCACTGGGGCAATATACAAAGAACACAAGCCATTAGTGTTAAGACCAGTCTACATAGGAACAGTACAATATAAAATTAAGATGTTTAATTCAGTTAAAGAAGAATTAATTCCTCTACAATTTTATGGAACATTACCAAAGGGTTATGTAATTAAAGAAATACATTATAGGAAAGGGAAAGATGCATCCATTAGTCTAGAGCCAGATTTGGACAATAGTGATTCTAATACAGTGTCCAAAACAAGCAAATTAGTAGCCCAAAGCATAGAGGATAAAGTGAAAGAGGTTGCTCCACCCTGGAGAGGCTCAATCTCCAAAGGATCAGAATCCCTAACCTCAATGTTCAGTCACGAAGATCAAAAGAAAATTTGTGCTGATTCTCGCCTAAATGCCACATCTGCATTGGAGCACACAGTTCCCTCTTATTCAAGTAGTGACAGAGCAGAACAAGGAATACAGCTCAGGCATTCACAGTCAGTGCCACAACAGCCAGAAGATGAAGCAAAACCACATGAAGTGGAGCCTCCATCTGTGACACCCGGCACACCTGCAACTGTGTTCCTGAGAACAGCAAAGGAAGAATGTGAGCTTGCTTCACCAGGAACTGCAGCTTCAGAGAATGACTCTTCAGTCTCACCGTCATTTACTAATGAGGTAAAGAAGGAAGACGTGTATTCTGCTCACCATTCCATTTCTCTGGAGGCAGCGTTACCAGATCTGGCAGCATCTACCCAGGATGGTTTGGACCCAGATCAAGAACAGCCAGACCTGACTTCACTAGAAAGGGCAGAACCAGTCCCTGCAAAACTGACCCCTACCCATCCCAGTGTCAAAGGAGAGAAGGAAGAAAATGTGCTTGAGCCATCCATTTCTCTTTCTGAACCTCTAATGTTAGAAGAACCAGAGAAAGAAGAAATAGACACTTCCCTACCTGTAGCTGCTACCCCTGAACCTGAAGATTCTAATTTAGTAGAAGAAGAGATCATAGAACTTGATTACCCAGAAAGCCCATTAGTTTCCGAGAAGCCCTTCCCACCACATATGTCCCCTGAAGTGGAGCATGAAGAAGAGGCGCTTATTCTACCATTATTGGCAACATCAACTCCTGAACATGTTGCTTTGTCTGAGGAAGAAAGAGAGGAAATTGCATCTGTTTCTACCGATTCTGCTTTCATATCAGAGTATTCAGTACCACAGGATTTGAACCATGAACTAGAGAAGCGAGAAAGTGAGCCAGTTTCTCCATCCAATGTAGAAGCTATAGCCGAACATGCAGTTTTGTCAGAAGAAGAGAATGAGGAATTTGAGGCTTATTCCCCAGCTGCAGCCTCTGCGTCTGAGCGCTCGCTCTCACCATCCACAACTGAGATGACTTTGGAGAGTCAGTCTCCGCTGTTTTCAACAGTTACACCAGAACACATGGTCCTATCAGGAGATGAGGCCTCAGAAAGTGGGTGTTATACACCAGACTCCACATCTGCTTCTGAATATTCAGTTCCATCACAGGCAACAAAAGAGTCACTGAAGAAAGTAATTGACCATAAGTCCCCGTTAATATCGAAAGGTGTTTCTGAGCACATGATTCCATCAGAAGAGAAGGAAGACACTGGATCGTTTACTCTAGCTGTGACCTCTGCTGCTGAGCCCTCTCTCTCACCATCCACAACTGAGAAGACTTCTGAATGCCAGTCACCACTGCCTTCTACTGCCACATCAGAACACGTGGTCCCATCAGAAGGAGAGGACCTAGGAAGTGAATGTTTCACACCAGATTCAAAGTTGATCTCCAAATATGCAGCCCCACTCAATGCAACACAGGAACCTCAAAAGAAAATAATTGATGAGGCATCCCAATTCAAACTGAAAGGTATTTCTGAGCACACGGTTCTGTCAGTAGAAGGGAAGGAGGACATTGGACCATCTTCCCCAGATTCGGTCGTTGCATCTGAACACTCTTTCCCACCACACACAACCGAGGTGACTTCTGAATGCCAGGCCCCACCACTTTCAGCCACCCCATCTGAATATGTGGTTCTATCAGATGAAGAGACAGTCGAGTTGGAGCGGTACACACCCTCTTCCACGTCTGCTTCTGAATTTTCAGTACCACCATATGCAACACCGGAGGCACAGGAGGAAGAAATTGTCCACAGATCTCTAAATCTAAAAGGTGCATCCTCACCCACGAATTTATCAGAGGAAGATCAAGAAGACATTGGACCTTTTTCTCCAGATTCTGCATTTGCGTCAGAATTCTCATTTCCACCGTATGCAACCCAGGAAGCAGAGAAAAGAGAATTTGAGTGCGATTCTCCAATATGTTTAACATCGCCATCTGAGCACACTATTTTGTCAGATGAAGACACTGAAGAAGCGGAACTGTTCTCTCCAGACTCAGCATCACAAGTTTCAATCCCTCCATTCAGAATCTCAGAAACAGAGAAAAATGAACTTGAGCCTGATTCACTATTAACTGCAGTGTCTGCTTCAGGGTATTCCTGCTTTTCAGAAGCAGATGAGGAAGACATTGGATCTACAGCTGCTACACCTGTATCTGAGCAGTTCAGTTCATCACAGAAGCAAAAATCTGAAACTTTCCCTTTGATATCTCCACTTGAAGACTTGAGTCTGCCGCCTTCAACAGATAAATCAGAGAAAGCAGAAATTAAGCCAGATATTCCAACAACCTCAGCATCTGTATCTGAATATCTAATTTTGGCACAGAAGCAGAAAACTCAAGCATATTTAGAGCCTGAGTCTGAAGACTTGATTCCTCCACATTTAACCAGTGAAGTGAAGAAGGGAGAAAGGGAGGCAAGTTCATCAGTAGCTGCAATACCTGCTTCTTTACCTGCACAATCATCTATAGTAAAGGAAGAAACCAAACCTGCATCTCCACATTCGGTTTTACCTGATTCAGTCCCTGCAATCAAGAAAGAACAGGAACCCACAGCGGCACTCACTGTAAAAGCTGCAGATGAACAGATGGCTTTGTCAAAAGTCAGAAAGGAAGAAATTGTGCCTGATTCTCAAGAAGCTACAGCACATGTATCACAGGATCAAAAAATGGAGCCTCAGCCTCCAAATATTCCAGGGTTTGAGATGAAATATTCAGTTTTGCCTGATGTGGTAGATGAGCCAAAGAAGGGTGTCAAGCCCAAATTAGTTCTAAATGTGACTTCTGAACTAGAACAGAGAAAGTTGTCTGAGAACGAGCCTGAAGTAATAAAACCGTGTTCACCTCTAAAGGAAACATCTTTATCTGGACCTGAGGTTTTATCAGCAGCAAAAATGGAGATGAAACATGATTCTAAAATAACAACTACACCTACAGTGCTTCATTCAGCTTCCTCAGGAGTGGAAAAACAAGTTGAACATGGTCCACATGCACTAGCATTTTCAGCTTTGTCAGAAGAAATTAAAAAAGAAATGGAACCCAGTTCCTCAACAACCACAGCATCTGTAACTAAGCTTGATTCAAACTTAACCAAAGTAGTAAAAGAAGAAATCTCAACAGATTCATCTCTTGTCACTCCTGTAGGTCATCCAGTCTTAACAAAAGTAGGAAAGGGTGAATTAGGAAGTGGTTTGCCACCACTGGTAACATCTACAGATGAGCATTCAGTTCTTGCAGAAGAAGACAAGGTGGCAATTAAAGGTGCTTCTCCCATTGAAACTTCATCCAAACATTTAGCTTGGTCAGAAGCAGAGAAGGAAATTAAATTTGATTCACCTCCAAGTGTCTCCTCTATAGCAGAGCATTCTGTTTTGTCAGAAGTTGAAGCCAAAGAAGTTAAAGCTGGGTTGCCAGTAATCAAAACATCATCTTCTCAATATTCAGACGAATCTGAGGAAGCAAGGGTAGAAGATAAACAAGGTCTTTCATGTTCTACAGTTCGCGACTCTGAACGTTTGGTTTCATCACAGAAAAAGAGCTTGGTGTCTACCTCAGCGGTGTTAGGGCCTGAACATGAGCTTTCACTCAGCCTATGGGGTGAGATAAAGAAGGAAGAAACTGAACTTCCTTCATCACAAAATGTGTCACCTGCATCCAAACATATAATTCCAAAAGGCAAAGATGAGGAAATAGCAAGTTCATCTCCTGAGTTGGAAAATTCAGCATCAGGTTTAGCTCCAACATTACTGCTCCTCAGTGATGGTAAGAACAAACAGGCAGTGGAGGTATCTTCTACAGACCAGGGAGACTTCCCATCAGAAAAACAAGACATTGCTTTGGCAGAGCTGTCTTTGGAACCTGAGAACAAAAACAAGCCACACCAACTGTTGGAATTACCAAATGCTGGGTCAGAATTTGCTAGTGGTTTAGGTAGACAAAGTGGATCCATCGGTACAAAACAAGCAAAGTCTCCCATAACTGAAACAGGGGATTCTGTTTTAGAAAAAGGCCCAGCTGAGCTTAGGAGCAGAGAAGGAAAAGAAGAAAATAGAGAACTTTATGCATCTGCTACAATGCCTACAACTTCAGAGCTTTCATCATTGCTTAGGGAGGAATCTCAGAATGAAGAAATTAAACCTTTCTCTCCCAAGATCGTCAGCCTAGAGTTGAAAGAACCACCTGCTTCTGTAGCTGAAGGAGACAACCCAGAAGAATTTCAGCCATTTACTTTTTCTTTAAAAGGATTATCAGAGGAGGTTAGCCATCCAGCCGACTTTAAAAAGGGAGGAAATCAAGAAATAGGCCCATTACCACCAACTGGAAATTTGAAGGCACAAGTCATGGGAGATATTGTAGCTAAGCTAAGTGAAGAAACAGGCCACCCAGATTCATCTCAGCTACTACAGAGTGTAACAGAACCATCAAAGATTGCTCTTTCTGACCTCCTTGTGGAACAAAAGAACACAGAAAAAGCACTTCATTCAGATCAAACTATTAAATTGCCTGATGTAAGCACCTCTTTTGCAGATAAACAAGATCTGGATATTAAGCAGTTTTCATTTATGAAAGAGAATTTGCCTTTGGAACAATCAAAATCATTTATGACAACCAAGCCTGCAGATGTCAAAGAAACAAAAATGGAAGAATTCTTTATTTCTCCAAAGGATGAAAACTGGATGTTGGGAAAGCCAGAAAATGTGGCTAGTCAACACGAAGAGAGAATAGCAGGATCTGTGCAGCTGGATTCCTCTGGCAGCAATGAGCTGAGGCCAGAGCAGCTCAAGGCTGCTGTGTCCAGTATGGACCATATATATGAAGTGAGAAAGCAGGTCTTGCCTCATTCTGCTGAAGAATCTCATTTGTCATCACAAGAAGCAGTATCTGCTCTTGATACTTCCAGTGGTAATGTAGAGACCTTATCATGTAAAAGTTACTCTTCTGAAGAACTAAAGCTGGCTGAAGAACCAAAGCTGGCTGAAGAACCAAAGTCTTTTGTCCTCGCTGGAAATGTAGAGAGAAATATAGCAGAGGAGAAGGAGAGTCATTCTTTGATGGAGAGTGAAAGTTTGCTATTGGAGAAAGCAAACACAGAGTTTTCCTGGCCTTCCAAAGAAGATAGCCAGGAAAAAATTAAACTACCTCCTGAAAGATTCCTCCAGAAACCAGTGTCTGGCCTATCAGTGGAACAGGTGAAGTCAGAAACAATCCCCTCTTCTGTCAAAACAACCCATTTCCTGGCAGAAGGTGTGGAACCGGCACTGGGCAATGAAAAAGAAGCACACAGGAGCACACCTCCTTTTTCTGGAGAGAAGCCACTGGAAGAATCGAAAATGGTTCAGTTGAAGGTTATTGATGATGCTGATGAGGAAAAGAAACCAGCACCTGAAGTGAAAATACCCACACAAAGAAAACCCATCTCCTCACTCCACTCAGAAGAGCCTCAATCCCCAGAGTCACCTGAGGTGACAGAAAAGCCACCTACACAGCCAAAAGTGGCTAAGCCAGACCTTCCTCAGGAAAAGGGAAAGAAAGGAATTTCATCTTTCAAATCATGGATGTCCAGCTTGTTTTTTGGATCAAACACTCCAGATAGGAAAGTTGCTGAACAAGAAGACTTAGAAACACTGCCAAGCCCATCTGTAGAAAAAGCAGTGACTGTGATAGAACCTGAAGTTACAATTCCCACCAATTTTAATGTAGCTGAGAAACAAGCTGATCATTCATTATCAGAGGTAAAACTCAAAACTGCTGACGAATCCCGAGGTACTTTAGTAAAATCTGGTGAAGGTCAAAACGTTAAAGAAAAATCCATAATTTTGTCAAATGTAGAAGATTTACAACAGCCAAAATCCATTTCTGAGGTGTCTAGGGAAGATTATGGAAAAAAAGAAATCTCAGACAATTCAGAGGAAATGAACATAAACTCAGTAGTTACTTCTGCTGATGGTGAGAAACATCTTGAAATTCAACCTTATTCACTAATCGGTGAGAAACTGATTATAGAAGAAGTCAAAACTATTGTTCCTCTTCATGTTACTGATAGTAAAAGAGTCCAGAAGCCAGCAATTGCTCCTCCATCTAAATGGAATATTTCTATTTTTAAGGAAGAGCCAAGAAGTGATCAAAAAGAAAAATCACTCCTTTCATTTGATGTAGTAGATAAGGTGCCACAACAGCCAAAATCAGCTTCCTCCAACTTTGCAAGTAAAAATATCACAAAGGAATCAGAGAAATCAGAGTCAATTATTTTGCCAGTAGAAGAATCAAAAGGCAGTTTAGTTGATCTCAGTAAAGACAGACTAAAGAAAGAAATGCAAAATCCTACTTCCTTGAAAATTTCTGAAGAGGAAACAAAACTCAGGTCTGTTAGTCCAACTGAGACGAAAGATAATTTGGAAAACAGATCGTATACCTTGGCAGAAAAGAAGGTGCTGGCAGAAAAACAAGACTCCGTGGCCCCATTAGAGCTTAGAGATAGTAATGAAATAGGGAAGACACAAATTACACATGGATCTAGATCTACTGAACTGGAAGAATCAAAAGCCAATGCTATGCCACAGCACTTCTATCAAAATGAAGACTACAGTGAAAGACCCAAAATCATTGTTGGTTCTGAAAAGGAGAAAGGTGAAGAAAAAGAAAATCAGGTATATGTGCTTTCGGAAGAAAAGAAGAAGCAGGAACATCAGCCTTATTCTGTGAATGTAGCCGAGTCTATGATTAAAGAATCAGATATCTCTTTAGGTCATTCTTTGGGTGAAACTCAATCATTTTCATTAGTTAAAGCTACATCAGTTACTGAAAAATCAGATGCTATGCTTTCAGACGCTCATCCAGAAATCAGAGAAGCAAAGGCAGTAGCAACCCAACCACATCCTTTAGAAGAAAGTAAAGTTTTGATGGAGAAAACCAAGACTTTCCTGCCGGTGGCTCTTCCTTGTCGTGATGAAATAGAGAACCACTCTTTATCTCATGAAGGAAATCTAGTATTAGAAAAGTCAAGCAGAGATATGCCAGATCACAGTGAAGAAAAAGAACAGTTCAGAGAGTCAGAGCTATCGAAAGGTGGTTCAGTAGATATCACAAAAGAAAGTATGAAACAAGGATTTCCAACTAAAGAATCCGAAAGGACTTTAGCTTATCCTTTTGATGAAACTAAGAGCTCAGAAACACCACCATATTTGCTGTCATCTGTAAAACCACAAACTCTAGTTTCAGGAGATTCTCCAGAAATTAATGCAATGAAGAAACAAGAAATGCCACAATCAGAATTGACTCCAGAAAGGCATACAGTTCATACTATTCAGACATCTAAAGATGACACATTCGATGTGCCTAAACAATCTGTTCTTGTTTCAAAGCACCACTTGGAGGCTGTGGAAGATACCCATGTAAAGGAACCACTGTCTTCAGCAAAAAGCAACTATGCTCAATTTATATATAGTGCATCAGCAAGCAATGCTGATAAAATGGTTTCTAATAAAGAAATGTCCAAAGAGCCTGAAGACACGTATGCAAAAGATGAAGACTTTACAGTGACTAGTAAGCCAGCTGGACTTTCAGAAGATCAGAAGACTGCCTTTAGTATCATTTCTGAAGGCTGTGAGATATTGAATATTCATGCTCCTGCCTTTATTTCTTCAATCGATCAGGAAGAAAGTGAACAAATGCAAGATAAGTTAGAATATTTGGAAGAGAAAGCCTCATTTAAAACCGTACCACTCCGTGATGATAGTGAAACAGTTGCTTGTCACAAAACATTAAAGAGCAGGTTAGAAGATTCTGATGAAAAAGTTACATCATTGAAAGAAAGTAAACAAAAGGAAACTCGTCATACAGAAGAAAAGACATCCACAGATTCAGAAACTGGTGATTTATCTTTTATTCAGTCCACAATTCCCAGTGAAGAGGATTATTTTGAAAAATATACTTTGATTGATTATAACATCTCCCCAGACCCAGAAAAACAGAAAGCTCCACAGAAATTAAATGTTGAAGACAAACTCTCAGAGGAAGTTACAGAAGAAGCGATCTCTTTCCCAGTAAGTTCAGTGGAAAGTGCACTAGAACATGAATATGACTTGGTGAAATTAGATGAAAGTTTTTATGGACCGGAAAAGGACCACAATATATTATCTCATCCGGAGACCCAAAAGTCTTTGGGTATCCAAAAATCAGCTGACAGAAATGTTTCAAAGGACGTAAAGAGAGATGCGGACTCAAAGTCACCTGGGATGCCTTTATTTGAAGCAGAGGAAGGAGTTTTGTCACGAACCCAGATATTTCCTACCACTATTAAAGCCATTAATCCGGAACTTCTGGAGGAGCCACCTGCACTTGCATTTTTATATAAGGATCTGTATGAAGAAGCAGTTGGAGAGAAAAAGAAGGAAGAGGAGACAGCTTCTGAAGGTGACAGTGTGAATTCTGAGGCATCATTTCCCAGCAGAAATTCTGACACTGATGATGGAACAGGAATATATTTCGAGAAGTACATACTCAAAGATGACATTCTCCATGACACATCTCTAACTCAAAAGGACCAGGGCCAAGGTCTGGAAGAAAAACGAGTTGGTAGGGATGATTCATACCAACCGATAGCTGCAGAAGGGGAAATTTGGGGAAAGTTTGGAACTATTTGCAGGGAGAAGAGTCTGGAAGAACAGAAAGGTGTTTATGGGGAAGGAGAATCAGTAGGCCATGTGGAGACTCTTGATAATATAGCAATGCAGAAGAAAGCTCCCATCAGAGAGGACATCAGAGTGGCTACCCAAAAAATAAGTTATGCAGTTCCATTTGAAGACACCCATCATGTTCTGGAGCATGCAGATGAAGCAGGCAGTCAGGGTAATGAAGTCGAAAATGCAAGTCCAGAGGTCAGTCTGAATGTCCCAGTACAAGTGTCCTTCCCGGAGGAAGAATTTGCATCTGGTGCAACTCATGTTCAAGAAACACCACCAGAAGAACCTAAAATCCTGGTCCCACCTGAGCCAACTGAAGAGAGGCTCCGTAGTAGCCCTGTTCAGGATGAGTATGAATTTGCAGAATCTTTGCATTATGAAGTGCTTCCTCAAGACATTTTATCAGAAGAACTGTCTTCAGAATCCAGACCTGAAGATGTCTTATCTCAAGGAAAGGAATCCTTTGAGCACATCAGTGAAAATGAATTTGTGAGTGAGACAGAGCAAAGTACATCTGCTGAACAGAAAGAGTTGGGCAGCGAGTGGAAAGAAGAAAACCAATTATCATCTGAGTTAGTAACTGAAAAGGCACAAAAAGAGCTGAAAAAGTCCCAGATTGACACATACTGTTACACCTGCAAATGTCCAATTTCTGCCACTGACAAGGTGTCTGGCACCCACAAAGACCATGAGGTTTCAACGCTTGACACAGCTATAAGTGCTGTAAAGGTGAATAGATGTTAAAACATATATAATTAATAATATATGTATACACATTTAATTTGCTTTTACATTTTCTCAGTGTTAAAGTTGATTAATATTTGATCATTGATCTTTAAGCAGAATGGTCTGAAAGCAAACTAAGAATATTTCTCCAAGAATTTAATTAAGGTAGGCTTGACAGACATTCATTGAGTACAGCCCATCCTCCTTATCCTTGAGTTCTGCGTGCTTAGAATCAACCAACCGCAGATCAAACATATCCAGGAAAAAAAAAAAAAGCACAAAACAGTAAGAGGGGGCCAGGTGTGGTGGCTCATACCTATCATCTCAGCACTTTGAGAGACCAAGGTAGGAGGATTGCTTGAGCCCAGAAGTTTGAGACCAGCCTGGGCAACATAGGGAGACCTTGTCTCTACTAAAAATACAAAAATTAGCTGGGCATGGTGGCACACACCTGTAGTTTAAGTTACCTGAGGGGCTGAGGTGGGAGGATCAGTTGAGCCTGGGAGGTCAAGGCTACAGTGAGCTGAGATCGCACCACTGCACTCCACTCTGGGTGACAGAGTGAGACTCTGTCTCAAAAATAAAATAAAAATAAATAAAAATAATAGAGCAATTAAAAATAATACGAATAAAAAACAGTACAGTATAACTATTTATGTAGCATTTATACTGTATCACGCATTATAAGTAATCTACAGATGATTTAAAGTATAGGAGACGATGTACGCCGGTTATATGAAAATACTATGCCATTTTCTATCAGAGACTTGAGCATCTGTGTATTTTGGTATCTGCTGACATCCTGAAACCAGTCCTCTGCAGATACTGAAGACAGCTGTGTACACTGTATGCCACACATTTTTCCAGGCCTAGGGGCTAGCACGATAGACAACACAGGGTCACTGCCCTTGAGGAGCTTGGTACTTTGTGGCAATAGCCCTTAACATTACCAAAAATGCCAAATAATTTGAAATTTTAGAAATTACCTTTGAGCAAAAAACTGCAAAAAACACAGTTTCCTTCCTATTATATACAATATCATCCTTTAAAAAGACACGTTTACATTACATTGAGACATTTCATTGCAAGTTATATATAAATAATACATTAAGACAGTTTAAATTTTTACTTTCTTTGTATTTCCTTTTAATTTATAAAATTCATGTTAGAAGCAGAAATTTTTTTGCATTCTTTCTGGCTATGTCTGTAGGACCCCAATGTTCTAGATAAGTTAGTTCCAACACATGTCCTCCTTTAAGTGAGTATAAATACTCCACTTCCCCAAGATGCTGTTGGAATGTAGTCTTTGAGACTGTCCTCTACCTTTCGATAGCCCTGTTACTGGTCTCACCATTCTTACCTCTTTAATCCATTCTCCATAGGGCAGCTGGAATTATCTAAAATTACTAAATAACAATAACAATTGAGCACTTACTCTGTGCCATGCACTATTTTTTGTTTTTGTTTTTGGTTTTTAGAGACAGGGTCTCGCTCTGTCACCCAGGCTGGAGTGCAGCGGCGTAATCACAGTTCACTGCAGCCTCAACCTCCCAGGCTCAAGTAATCCCTCCACCTCAGCCTCCAAATAGTTGGGAGTATAGTTATGCACTGCCACCCTGGGCTAATTTTAAAAAGTTTTTTGTAAAGACAGGGTCTCCCTATGCTGCCCAGGCTGATCTAGAACTCCTGGGCTCAAGCGATCCTTCTGCATTGGCCTCCCAAAGTGCTGGGATTACAGGTGTGAGTCACCATGCCCAGTCTTAAGTTCTTTATATACAGGATATCTTTTAATCTTTCTGACAGCCCTATCACTGTCATCAACTTGCAGATAATAAAATCGTCTCAGAGAGGTTTAATGATTTGCCCAAGGTCATGGAAGGTGGAACTGGGGCTGGTACCCAGATCTTTCTGATGCCAGAGCTCATGTTCTTGACTGTATACGCATACTGCTTGGCTCAGTACCTTGCTAATGGTAGTGATTTTCAATATGATCGTTCAATTAGGTCCTTGTTAAAGAATTATCAGACTCATTTTGATTCAATAGGATAACATATTAGAATCTTGGCATTTTTTTATACCCAAATTAATCCTCAACTTGCCTGATATTGGTTCTAGTTCTCCAGGGTAGAATTTTGTTGAAATTTTACTTGTTAAAGTTTGGGATTAGGGAGTAGGGCAACTTCTTTTGTGAAATCTCAGACATCAGATGCATAAGCCCCAGTGGAAGTGGGCCCCGTTCTGTGGTGACACTTCGTTTTAACCCACAACTACTGAGCATTGCCAGCAGAAAGAAGACTGAATTTTTTTGGCCTTCTTAATATGTTTTATTTAGCTCTATGAGTTTTAGATATTCAAAAGTAATCATCTAAGTATGATCAATTTAAAACAAATTTTGTAAGTAGAGAGATACAACATCTCCTGCCTTAAAATCATTTTTAAAGTTTTTTTTTTTTAATTCTTGATCTTCTGTAAACAGTATGAGAAGGAGAAGGTGGGAACCCAGTTGACTAAAGCCAAGGAGCTACCTTCATTTCATTAAGTCAGCCACGAAGATTAGTAAGAGTTGGTTGGTTGGCAATTCCTCCTCCTCCCTCCTCCTCCTCCTCCCCCTCCCCTCCTCCTCTTCTTCTTCCTCTTCCTCCTCCTCCCCTTCTTCCTCCTCCTCTTCCTTTTTCTCCTCCTCCTCCTGCTCCTCTTCTTCTTCCTTTTTTCTTTTCTTCTTTGGCAGGGTCTTACTCTATTGCCCAGGCTGGAGTGCAACAGCGTGATCATCATAGCTCACTGAAGCCTCCTGGGCTCAAGCAATCCTCTCGCCTCAGCCTCCTGAGTAGCTGGTACTACAAACACATGCCACCACATCCAGCTACTTTTAAAACTTTTAGTGGAGACAAGGTCTCACTATGTTGCCCAGTCGGTCTCGAAGTCCTGGCTACCAGCAATCTTCCCACCTAGGCCTCCCAAAGTGCTGAGATTCCAGGCAGTAGCCACTGCAGCTGGCCAGTTGGCAACTTTTTAAAAATAAAAATCAATTTAAAAAATTGTAGCTTGAAAATTTTCTAGCATCTTAAGGGCAGGCATTTGTGCCTGTTCCAGGAGCTGATGGCTGCAGTTACAGATCACCCAAGTCCTTGTGTCCCCTCCGGAGTCCATCCCCATCATGTGCTTATCTTTTGTCTGTTATTTATTTTCTTCATTCACTCACTCTCTTCCTGCATTCTCACTGTTAATTTATCTCCTCTTCTGTGTCAGGAACTGTGCTAATCATTGAGAATGAAAAAAAAAAAAAAAAAGAAAAAAGGAAGATGGACTTGTAGATTCCCAAAATCAATATAACGTTGTGAAAGTATAATGTTCTGAGAAACTAACCTTTTGGGAAGGAAATGGTGGGGTAGGAAGGGGAATGTGAGCAAAGGTGTCTAAAAGGTGAAGCTTGGGTGAGCTTTAAATGAGATAGAGTTCTTCTAGCAGTCAAGAGCAGGGACAACATTCTAGAGCCAGGGAATACCATATGAAGGTGCACAGATGAGAAAGAGTGCAAGGACAAAAATCAGCTTATGTGACTGGAGCCTGGGGGCTGTGGAGAAGAGGTAAGGGCCATAGAGGGAAGTAGAGACCAGATCCTGAAGAGCCCTCCATCAATGTTGTATCTCCATCAGTCTGTGGTAGTGAATCAGACAGCTGAAGCTCTGCTATTTTTTCTGCTTTGTTGTTTTTTAAATTTAGCAAGATTGACTGTTGCTAGGTTTATAACTACCGCTAAAGTGAGTACCATGCTCTCCTATCACCCCATACATTTTCTAGTTGGCTATTACCCCTTGAGTATTTTAACCGTTTGAGGGTCATTAGCGCTTTTAGGTCCCTGTAGTAGACAGTTTCTATCAGTTGGTATGCTAGATTTCAGGCCTTGTGGCACTCTGATCACCTTCTCAGGCCATTGGTGTAAATGTGAAGAAACTACTCGGGTATATTGGACCAGTTTAGCAAAACGACTCCTCTCAGAACATACAAAAACCAAGGCCTTACTAGAGAGAACGCATTCAAATCCATAGTTCATTAAAACAAGTATGTTTTGAGCTCATCAATTTACCAAGAAAGTCCTTTGTTCACTTAAGAAGATATACTGTCTTTGTGTAGTTGTTTTGAGGTTTTCACTCAAAACCTCCTCATTGTTTATCATACAGAATTATCTATAGTCAGATGAGGCAGTAAAGAAAATTTAAGGATTGATTTGTTAGTGGATATAGTATAGTAAGTCTCTACCAAACATAGTAAATTTATAAGGAATTTGGAGCTCACTGGTTGAAGTTCTTTTCCTAAATGTCATATACTAAGGATATCTTAATTCTTTTCTTCAGGTTCAATTAGCAGAATTTCTAGAAAATTTACAAGAAAAATCCTTGAGGATTGAAGCCTTTGTTAGTGAGATAGAATCCTTTTTTAATACCATTGAGGTAAGTTACCACACCCATTTTACCTTAACTCAGCTTGTTCACAGTATCAGAAGTAAATGATTCTGAGGTGAAGGGATCTGACTTGGGGATTTTGTGCGTATGTGTTGTTTGCCATTGTTGGTTCAGTTCCATTCAAAGCGAGGATACTTAAAATCTCTCTGTGCATAATCAGTGAGACTCCTTTCTGCCTATGGATAAAAGATTTGCCCTTAACAACAGACATGCGTTTATTAGACACTTAAATAGGGCAAATGCTTTACATGTTTACCTGACCGAATCCTCACAATTATATGAGATAGGTGTTATTATTATTGTTTCAATTTTATAGATAAGAAACCAAGTCTTAGAGTACATTCCTCGTTTTCATGCCTCTCATTGGGTTAACTGCAGAAATGCTCTGAGTCACTGTCCAGTGTCCCACGCCCAGGGCCAATGAGTGCCTCTCATAGCACGACTATCTCTGATGAGTTTGTGCTCCCTTAGCTGCTGGCTCCTGTCCCTTCTGCAGGGAAGAGAGGGACTAGCAATGCTCCATCCTTATACAGAGATGGCCCAGGCACCCTCACCAGTCAATCAGGACTGGCAGAGGGCCTGAGGCCACTGCAGAGGCTCCTGCACAGTTCCATTACTCCTGGGGCCACTCCACGTCCTGGTTTGCTTGTGAGAGGTCTGCTTAATTCATGTTATAGATCAACTAGTACGTGCTAGTTGTTTCTGATGTCCCCTTCCCCAGGTGTCCTTTATAGAGAGTAAATTTTGGGTTCATCTTACTAGCATACTAGTGAGGATAGCCAGGCATCTGGGTGTGTCTGGACAGGCAACAGAGTTTCTCCCACTGTGGGATAATCTGCCATCTCACTGGAGAACATTTGGGGAGGTAGTCCCCGTTCCATATCTGGGCTGCTTTCTGCCTTGCACTGTGATTTTAGTGGAGTGATGCTTCTCTACCACCTGAAGGCCAGGGATCCTCACTTACCGTGATGCCATTTTCAAGTTTCATCATGTGTGAGTACAGGTGGGCAAGACTTCCATACAAATATATATATAGTTTGTATTATGGTAACTAAAACTTTCTTGATGATACTGTTATAGTAAATTCTATTGCTTTATTGCAAAGCTAATTGTGTGAAAGGGATTGGTAGGTTAAAAATTTGAACTGTGCATGTAATGTCTGATTCTCCGATCAGGATGCCAGAGGTCAATTCTTTAAAAGGCTGGTGTTTCCAAAAAAAAAAAAAAGAAAAAAAAGCATGCATTTCTTGTTTCATTCAGAAATGGGCTTTTTTGCATGTTTGTTTTCAGGAAAACTGTAGTAAAAATGAGAAAAGGCTAGAAGAACAGAATGAGGAAATGATGAAGAAGGTTTTAGCACAGTATGATGAGAAAGCCCAGAGCTTTGAGGAAGTGAAGAAGAAGAAGATGGAGTTCCTGCATGAGCAGATGGTCCACTTTCTGCAGAGCATGGACACTGCCAAGGACACCCTGGAGACCATCGTGAGAGAAGCAGAGGAGCTTGACGAGGCTGTCTTCCTGACTGTAAGTGCCAAGTAAAATGGGCTCAAACACCTTGCGCCCACTCTGGCACATCTACTTTTAAAGCTTCATTTTTCACTATTCCTTAAGATTATTTATATCTCTGTGTGGGATTTATATAATTCTGGCATTTAAGCATTATTTGGGCATGCCTGATGCCTATAGAAAAGGCCCAGCAAACCCTGAAAGCCTCAATGCCCAGATCCAGCTGAAAGATACATGGAGACAGCCTGCAGCATCATCATTCCATTGCGTCCCACTGGATTGATTGGTCACTGTCTAAGAGGGAGGGAAAGCAGCCTTGTCCCTGCCATGCTTTCCCTCTGAGAGCCAGCTGGCTCCTGCGGCTGTCCCCTTCACTCCCCAAGCTGAAGTGACCACTCATATGGACTGTTCCCCCTCTGACCTGGCCAAGGGGCTGGGAGTAACATTTGGGTGTGCAAAAGGATGACATAATGGGATACCCCTCTCAGGTAATAAATATGTTGGTGTTTTTACAAGGGGTTTCTTGGGGACAGGATTTCTTAATTCAAGCAGGTAACTTGTAGACATGGAAATTCCCTTGGGTGCTCCTCAAATTGCACCAGCAGAGACACCTCTGTGCTCCCTGCAGTTCCCTAGAATATTCAGTGAGACGCTGGTTCTCCATGAAGCCAGGATTAAGCAGAAATAGTGGAGATGTTTCCCCTGAAGGCAGTTCCAAGCCTAATTGTCACACAGCGGGAAGCATGGCTCTTAGGATGACTGGAAATCTCCCTTTCAAAGTTCCCCATCCTCCCACCCTTTTGAAAAGTTTGGAGATACAGCAAAGCAAAATAGGACAATGTTAGCCTTTTGATTTGCCTCTGGGGACAGCTCTTGACAAGGCAAATTTGGGTGAAGTGGACATGGCCATTCTCAAAGAGAACTAAACTCATTACATTGTTTTGTGTGTAATTAAGGCAAAGCTTCTTATTCATAAATTGGGCACTGCTTGTGAAGCATAACGTTAATTAAGTGCTTTTTTTCCCTGAGAACCTTATCTTTATTCAATAAGAATAAGAATAATTTACTTCTCTCTAGAAGAGCAAACTGTAAATAAAAAAAAAACAGATGGCATTTTTCCTACTTATATAAGTAATATTACTCATTTTTTAAAATTCGAAAATATAGAAAAGCACACAGAAAATATCACTCAGATAAATACTGATTACATTTTTGATATCTATCCCTCATTGAATACATTTAAGTCATTTTTCCTGCTTTAGAGAATTCTGTTCTGGAAGCTAAGCCACTGGTTGATGAATAGAGAGAAGCAGAGCATAAGCAACTCATTGCCAGTCCCGCTGATCGCAGAGACAGAGCCAACTGCAAATGAACCACCCTCCATCCCTGTCCTGACACTGCCCATCCCACCCGCTCCCCCTCCCCCACACCCTGCCTTCTGAGCACGTATGTCCTTGCTGCCCAGGCTGGGAGAAAAACAACCTCAGGGAAGCTGAGGGGTTATGATTTTCAAAAGGGGGTAATCTTAATGCTCCTGGTTGTTTTTTCTTTCTGTTGTTAATTAGCTTCTCTCTCTCTCTCTCTCTCTTTCTCTCTCTCTTTCTCTCTTCTCCTCCTCCTCCTCCTTCCTCTCTCTTTCTCCCTAAGTCGTTTGAGGAAATCAATGAAAGGTATATAAAACATGGTACAATGTGGTGGCAAATAGCATGACTGGATGCTTGCTTTTTAATATTTTGGTGCTTTATGGAAAATGAGCTGCCAATTAAAAAATATTTAGTGGGCTACAGTATTTTCACTTTTAGACACAGTGCTTTTAAAAGCTAAATGACAGCTTTGAAAGAAAACTGCATGTGCTTTAGTTAAATAACAATTATCATAATGTAGATTTTTAACTGCTTCCTCAAGATATATTCTGCATTTTCAGCCTAATCTAGGCCATCTTTCCTGTCACTGCATAGAGAACATTTTGCAGATACTTAGATGCATTGGTTAAATATGAGTATTTGAAAGAATCATTCATATCTGCCTTGAGTAATTTTATGATTTATGTAATTTTAATGGACTGTTCTATCATTTTCTCTTCAAAAGACAGTCATGCATTTCTCTTCTCTTTCCGCTCAGCTAACCTAAATGAATCTCCCTCTTTTGATTGTGTTTTGTTTTGTTGTTGTATTTAACACTTCATCTAAGAGAATTCTTCATTCTTTCCAAAAGCAAAACACTCAACAAGAAAACATGTTGTCTATAAAAACATGTGACATCAGATTTATGTTTGTCTTTCGGAGCATCTCATACTGAAATTCTCCGACAGATCTGACACATTCTTCCTCCTGCCCCATAGCAAGACCTGAGGTCTTTCCTTCTGGTTTGAGCCTAATGTTTTCTCCTTTCAGTGTAATTTTAAATGTAAATTTCTAAATTGTAAATATCGTCTTCAGTTTACTTCCATCCCAATTCAAATTGTGATACAGCATAGAATAAAATCAGAAATTTGTATCTATAATGTATTATAATATAAAAAAAGGATTTACAAAAAACTAGCTGGGCGAGGTGGCGGGCGCCTGTAGTCCCAGCTACCCGGGAGGCTGAGGCAGGAGAATGGCGTAAACCCGGGAGGCGGAGCTTGCAGTGAGCTGAGATCTGGCCATTGCACTCCAGCCTGGGCGACAGAGCGAGACTCCGTCTCAAAAAAAAAAAAAAAAAAAAAAAAAGGATTTAGATTAGAAATATGATTTTTTTAGGTAATTGAAATCACACAGATGAATCCTATTTACCTAAAACAAATTCTGTTCAACAGAATATTACCAGTTAGTTTTTGAAAATAATTTGTATACTAGGATTGACATTAATCAATAAGTGTTCTATAACAGTGGCTCTGTTATGAATAGAATTCCACAGGGAGCTTTTAAAATTGCTGATGCCTGAATCTTCTGAGATTCTGATTTAACTGCTCTGGGGTATAGCTGAGCATTTTTAAGGCTTCCGAGATGATTCTAATGCACAGCCAGGGTTGAAAGTTCTGGTTTATACAATCTATCCTTTGTCCCAGTGGTTCCCCAAACTGGCTGTGCCTAAATCACCTGTGCAATTTGTTTAACCAAAGATCCTCGGGTCCCACGCCACATCCACTACGTCAAAATTTCCAGAGTGAGACCAGGCATCTGCTTGTTACCAATTTCCACAGACGAGTCTAAGACACACCAGTCAGGTCTGGAAACTGATACCCAGGCCTTATTCTGAGTTTCCAGTCTATCTTTTCTGTCTGTCTATCTATCTATCTATCTATCTATCTATCTATCTATCTATCCATCCATCCATATTTTTTTGAGCCAGGGTCTCGCTCTGTCACCTGGGCTGGAGTGCAGTGGCACGATCTTGGCTCACTGCAACCTCCACCTCCCAGGTTCAAGCAATTCTCCCGCCTCATCCTCCTGAGTAGCTGGGACCACAGGTGTACTCCACCGTGCCCTGCTAATTTTTTGTGTTTTTAGTACAGATGGGGTTTTGTCATGTTGCCCAGGCTGATCTTGAACTCCTCAGGCCAAGTGATCCGCCCACCTCCAGTTTCATTTATTTTTTAAAAAATTATATATTTTTTCTAAATATTATTGACATTTCTTTTTATCCAAAAAGTACATAGATTTACAGTGCCATTCCATCTATACCGGACAGTGTAAATGCATATTTGCTTACTTATATTTTATCTATTCACAGAAGTTACTGCTCAGTAAGAAAATTTGGTGAGTGAAAAGTTGCAAAAATGCAATAGAATGTTTTTACCTTTCTAACCATCAGAATATTGCAAATCTAAATTGACATCCACTTAATAGTAAATACTGTTTCTTCCTTCGGCTTCGTGCTTAAATGTGTTCATCTGTGTGTCATTTTAATTAATTTCTATTTCATTGTCCAGTTGACAGTGAATTAATTTTTTGCTAAAGCTGCCTGTCACTTAAAGGAGAGTACACTTGGGCGAACCATTATTTTCTGTAAAGAAAAAAGACAACAAAATTCTGGAATTTGGTGAAGAAAGGTGAACAATTAAAGAAAGCACTGTCAGACGTGCATGTACACATGCACACACTTGATGAAGCTGGACCCCATCACTAAAAAGGTTTCCATGTCCTCAAGAAAACTTCTGTCTCAAAGTCTTGATGTTACTGATGTTCCTTTCTATAAGAAGTGCTACTTATCTACAGTTGGCCCTTGAACAACATGAGTTTGGACTGTGTAGGTCCACTTATATATGAATCTTTTTCAATAAATATATTGGAAAAGTTTTTTGACATATGTGACAATTTGAAAAAAACTAAAAGATGAACTTCATAGCCCAGAAATGTTGAAAAATTAAGAAAATGTTAGGTGTGTCACAAGTACATAAAATATATGTAAATATTAGTCTATTTTATCATTTACTATCATAAAATATACACAAATCTATTATAAAAATTAAAAACATCAACACTTACGCACACGAACACCACCGTCCATAGCACCATATGCAGTTGGGAAAAAATGTAAACGAACATAAAGATACAGTATTAAATCATAATTGCATAAAATTAACTGTAGTAATACTGTACTACTCTAATAATTTCTACAGCTATACTACTACCATACTACTTTCATAATTTTGTAACCACCTCCTGTTGCTCTTGTAATGAGCTCAAGTGTTGTGAATCTCTGCTTAAAACACTGTGTCACGCTAATCATCTCCCCATGAGCAGTTAGTCTCTCCAGTAAACTGCATATTGCAGTAAAAAGTGATCTCCTAAGGTTCTTGTCTATTTTTTTTAAAAATCATATTCAGTGCAATACCATAAACCTTGAATAACACCATGATACCCATAGGAAGTGGCACTAGTGATCATGGATGTCCTCCCAGGAAACAGAGAAAAGTCATGACATTACAAGAAGAAGTTGAATTGTTTGATCTTTTCAGTAGATTGAGGTCTATGGCCACCTTTGCCTTCCATTTCAGGTGATTCATCTTGTAAAGAGATGATGTAAACTTAAGGTATTAATAAATACAGTACAGTACTGTAGGTGAATTTTCTCTTCCTTATGATTTTCTGAAGAACTCTTTTCTCTAGTTTATGTGATTTTAAGAATATAGTATATAATACATATACAAAATATGTGTTAATCAACTCTTGAGGTTATTGGTAAGGCTTATTGATAAGGCTTCCAGTCAACAGTAGGCTGTTAGTAGTTAAGTTTTTGGGGAGGCAGACGGCACACATGGATTTTCAATTGTGCAGAGTCAGTGCCCCAAACCCCGTCTTGCTCAAGAGTCAGCTGTAGTTTATTTTACCTTGCCACTTTTTCTCCCGCCTTTCACATTATATCTCTAAAGGCAGTGCTTGTATATTAAATGATTTTTCTCAACACTAAAAATGCTTAAATTAAGGAATGCTGTCAAGCATATTTAGACTCAACATTTGCATATCTTGAAAAACACATTTACTTAGAAAATGCTGTTCTGTTGAGGGGATTCATTTTTTTCTCCGTTTTGCTCTTTTGTGTTATGATAATGAAAAGGAGTTGCAACCGTTGTAAGACCTGCTTCTAAAAGGATGTCTGCTTGCCTTTTCATATGCTGATGTTAAACTGGAATAGGTCAGTGCATAAGGGAAAACTCGAACATTTTGCTCGTGGTACCTACAATCAGAGCTTTTGTGCTACGAAATGTCCTACATTAATACACATCAGTGATGTGTATTTTTAGAGGGCTTAGTGCATGTATGGGGCACCATTTTTGTTCATTCTGAGCCTATCATTTCCACCCTCTCCATCTCCACAGCCTTAATTTAGGCTGGTGCTGTCTTCCCTCATCTAGACCCTGTGGGGTTCTCCCGCCTGACCTCAGACCTGTCTCCTCTGCTTGCCCTGATCCTTCCTTAGACACTTGCCAAGACAGTCGTCTAAATTTCCCTTTTATAACAATTTTGTGGCTCTCCCTGCCTTAAAAGACAAAATTGAACTGTCAGTGGGTATGAAAGGCTCTTCATAGTCAAGCCACAAAGCACTTTGCTATTTCATCCCTAACCGTCTGTGTTTCTCAATTCCCACGGTGCCCTCTGGCCCTCGAACGTGCTGTACTTGGCCACATCTCCATGCCTGGGTTCATGCCCTTCTTCTGTCTGCAACGCCCTTACTTATTCTCTCTTCTGCCTAGGAAACTCCCACTCGTTAAGACCCAGCCCAAATGTTACCTCCTCTTTGAAGCCCCTCTGGAACCACCTCCCTTAAATCAAATGATAGTGAATTTTATTGTTTCCGACAGTAGTAAGTGTAGAAGTCACTCTAAATATTCAGTTTTGTTTTATAATATTTTTCCTTCATGCTGACCATAAATCCACCATCCCTGAGATCCTGATATCCTCGCCCACACAAAACTATTGGCCTCTTATTTATTCAAAATATGCTTATTAAATGCCCACTATGTGCCAAGTAATGCATTAGAATACAGTAGGGAACAAAACAAAGTCCTTTCCCGCCTATAAATGCTATTCTGGTGAAGCAGACAGACAAAAACCGAAGAGGCTGTGATAAGTCTGGGGAAGTAAAACAAAGCCTAGTGAAGAATGAAGGGGGCAGGCAAGGCTGTATTAGTAGCGTACTCTCTGAGGAGCTGGCATTTGAACAGAGATCTCAAGTCAAGGAAGGAGCTGAGCAAGTGTCTGGGAGAACAAAGTTCCAACAGCAAGTGCAGTGGGTCTGCTGGGAAAACCAAGACGTCCATGGAAATGAAGCCGACGCAGTTCCTTGCAGCCGACTGAGTTGCTGGAAGAGAATTCCAGTCCTGTGTGAGAGAGATGAACAGAGGAGAACTGCTAATCTACTTGGAGGCCTCTCATGCTAAAAATAAATTCTTTTGCAAACTCTCTGTTTCCTCTTTCCCCTTCAGAGTTAACCTTTTTCTCGCTGTTTGTTTAAATCCACATTTCATCTGGATACAAATACTCAGACTTAGCATCAGTTGGCATTCCAACTAATGAGGGTGTTGAGTCCATAAAGCTGTTGATTTATAAACTGTGGTTTGTTTAGTCTTTTATGAATGGTAGGCTTTATCCTCTCTCATTGCTCTTTCCCCAGTACCTAACACAATGCCTGGGACATAGTAGGTAAACATGTTTTGAATGAAAAAATGATTTGAAGCTTAATATTGAGGTTTGAGAACAAAGACATCTACAGTGTATAAGTTTCTGGATATGCTCTTAGCCTTTTTATCCTTTGAAACCTCAGTGGGTATGAAAAGCTTTGGATATAAATCCTTTCCCTTTAGGAAATAAAGAAAATAATCACTAAAATGAAGTAATTTTTAGGACCAACTTTATAGGTAAAACACTTAAGACTGTATTGCTTGATAGAATCTTTTCTAACTAGAGGATATAGGAATGAAATTTCCAATATTACCAGTTGCCTAAGAATAGATTTTAGACATATATTTCAAGACTTTAAAGCTTTAAATCCTTTTTTGGATAGAGTGAGAGGCCCTGCCTTATGCAAACCACCACTACCAACACCAGCTTCATTTTGAAAAACTGTTTTTCACTTTCATTCCGTATGTTAATAATTTTTTGACTTATGTAGAGCTCTATTCCCCTGATAGGTTGCTTTCTGCAATGGAGAGCACTGCTTCTTTAGAGAAAATGCCTGCTGCGTTTTCCCTTTTTGAACATTATGATGACAGCTCGGCAAGAAGTGACCAGATGTTAAAACAAGTGGCTGGTAAGCATTTTAATATATTAATTACCTAGATGAAATATGGCAGTTTTTGCTTGTTTGTTTTGTGTGTAATGATATATACAAAAGATTTTGCATGCAAAGACATGTAACTGGAAAAACAAAAGTATTAGTTGTAAAATGTTACAGCTAGACTCTGAAATTGAGCATGAGACGAGCATCTCATTTCTGTGCATTTCCATCTGAAGCTTTATGACTTGCTTGGAGATTGAGGAGGTGGAAGGAGCCATGGAACCAAAGGGTCTCCTCTTTTTTTTTTTTTTTTTTAATTTAAAAATAGGATTTCTCTCCCTCTCTTCTTGAGAGTTGTTTGCCTCATACCAGCAGCCAGGTATAGAAGAAAAAGAAGTCAAATGTTTTTCTATGTGTCAAACAGATTTCTCTTTATGAGTGGTTTTCCCCTTTTCAATTCAGTTCTTTTCCCCTTTTTTCAAACTAAACAGATGAGCTTAGAGAACTATCAGCTCAGCACCATGGTCTGTAGCCAGGAGCCTCCCACTCAGCTGTCAGAAGCATCCTGCCAGCTCTTCACAATATTTTTTAATGTGCTATTTTAACAAACAGGACAATGAAACTTATTTAGATTTTTCAAAGCTGCCATGTTTCAGTGAAATTACCAAGTTTTTCTTACTGTACAACGTGCTCAGATGTCCTCCTTAAAAGATGCTATCGTCTTCCAAAATCACCTCAAAGATTACAGCCATTCGGGAGGCTGAGGCGGGAGGATCACTTGAGCCTAGGTGTTCGAATCCAGCCTGGGCAACATAGTAAGATCCCCATTTCTTTAAAAAAAAAAAAAAAAAAAACCCAAAAAACAAAAACAAAAACGATGGCTGTTGTGTTTAAATTGATGATTAACTTTCATTCCTGTATCAAGAGTTTTAGTTCAGTAACTACTAAAAAGGCTACTGTATGTCTAAAAGACAGAAACAACACAACACCACACAACACACAAAAACCCAAAACTCCACGAGCCCTTTATAAAATTAAAAACTCGATCATTGATCTTAATGGATTTTCCCTAGAAATGTCTCAAAACAAAGTGTTTTCTTGTAATGTCTTTAAGAGGGATTAGACTAGGGCAGTGATTGCAAACTAAGAAAGTTTGATTAACAGAGCTGGTCTTTTGCTTTTAAGGGATTCATTATATGCCATTGTTCATTTAGGAGGATATGCTTTTCAATACTTAATGGGCATTGAGAGGACATTTAATATACTTTAGAGGTCACAGAGTTAAAATGTCACAAAGTGTTAACAATTAACTCAGCAAGTACAAGTGGCAGTCCCTGTGGTTCGAAGCCTTTTATGGAGAGACTGATCTCAGAGCCATAAATGTTACTTTGTGCATCTGTTTCACAAAATTGGAGCCCAGGGTGTTGACTTGCTGCTAAATAGTTTTTGTTCATTTTGTGACACCTCTCGGAAGTCCTCACCTGTTACCTGAAAAGTTGATCTGATGACCCCCTACCTAAACTAAGCAGATGTAATGAGAAAAGGATGTGAGTTTTCCAATGAGAAGTAGCAGCCCATCCGATTTATTCCATGCTTACACAATGGCTGGCATTGTGGGAACCGTTAAGCATATCAAATCATCTAATCTCACCACAACCCAAGGAGGTAGGTTTTGTTATTCCCATTTGACAGGTGAAGAAAGGTGAGGAAAGAGAGGAATAGAAAAATGTTCTATTTTCAAGACAACACAACCGGTTGGGGTGCGTGTGGCAGGGGAGTTTGGCTTCAGAGTCTGCCCCACAGCGAAAAGGCAGAGTGCTGCTGAGAAAGGTGAGAGAAACAGATAGTGGATAAACAAACATGAATCTAGGCTTCCTGGATGCTGGCACCTGGGGTTTTTTTTTAATTGCGGTAAAATACACATAACTTAAAATTTACCATCTTGCCCATTTTTAATTGTACAGTTTAGTGGCATTAAGGACATTCACACTGTGTTACAACCATCACTGCCATCCTCTCCAGAACTCTTCATCTTGCAAAACAGAAGCTCTATATCCATTAAACACTAACTCTCCATATTCTCCCCTGCCCCTGGCTCCTGGCAGCCACCATTTTACTTTCTGTTTCTGTGAATTTGATTATTCTAAGTACCTCATCTAAGTGGAATCATATGGTATTTCTGTTTTTGTGACGGCTTTAGCTTAGAGTAATATCCTCAAGGCTTACCATGTTGTAATGTGTGAAACTTCTCCTCTTTAAGGCTGACTTATATTCCATTGTATGCACACACAGCGTTTACATTATCTATTCATCCATTGGTGGATACTTGGGTGGCTTCCACTTTTTGGCTATTGTGAATAATGCTGTTCTCCTGAGGACGTTCCAAAGGCCAGGTTGAGTGGAAATCTGTATCTGACCACAGATTCCGAAGTCCAGTTTGGTTAATGCTTAACTCCCCAAATGTGGCGGCTCTTTTTGGGCACATTTCATCAGGCAGAGGAGTGATTCTTCTACCCAATTCCTTAGCCTCTTATAATGAAGCCCTAAACTTTCATTTTGGTATTTTTTGGTATCATACCTTTTTTTGTTTTTTTTCAGACAGAGTCTCACTCTGTCGCCCAGGCTGAAGTGCAGTGGCACCATCTCGGCTCACTGCAACCTCCGCCTCCCAGGTTCAAGCCATTCTTATGCCTCAGCCTCCCCAGTACCTGGGATTACAGGCACGCATCACCATGCCCAGCTAATTGTTGTATTTTTAGTAGACATGGGGTTTTGCTCCATTGGCCAGGTTGGTCTTCTACCTCTGACCTCCAGTGATCTGCCCTGCTCGGCCTCCCAAAGTGCTGGGATTATAGGCGTGAGCCACCGCGCCTGGCCGGCATCGCACTTATTCAAGTTTATTACTGTGAAAGTGTAAACATAGTTGCTAAACTCCGGGTCTCTGATGTTGTTCTATCACATAAGAATTGTAAATTCAGCCATTATTATTAGATTATATCTATGGAATATTCCTATTCCCTTTTCATTTTAGAATTCTTTGAAAAGTAAAAGTATTTCCTGTTTCTGAAAAAAGGTGTTTTAACTTTAATGCTTTTGGGGGAAGGAGCACATTAAAACAAAATTTCTAACTTACGTACTTTGCTTTTTCTTTAAAATTAAGTGATTTTCTTGGATCAATTAATCAGTTTTTAAGTTTGTTAATTTACCCGAGAAAGAGAGAGAGAAATGTGAAAGATGTTTTCATTTTTAAAAAGCAGATACAGCTCCATGTATAATTCATAGGGTAAAAGGGGGAGCATTTTCATTGTTCACGCCTCAAGTAATTCTGAAATATTGCTTCAAAGATGATCGACAATCGTTGAAACATTCCACTTGGTCCTTTTATAGACCTGGGGAGCATGAAAATTTACTGAACTACATTGATCTGGACAGACTCATTTAGAATGTGACATCCATTTCCTGCTGGGAAGACAAGCAATAAATTCCAAGACAGTATGAGGGTCTCTGACCTGTGATCAGTCCCTGGGGAGGCGCTCTCACCAGCGACCTCTGCCTCAGCATGCAGTTTGCTCCACAGGTCTTACCTCTGTGGCCTCTGTGGCTTTCCAGATGGTGGGTCCCTCGTTCAGCCCTCATCTTCAGGAGCTTCCTGCCTCGCCCCTCTGTTTCCTATGCTCCTGCCAAGGCCCCTTTGCTTTCTGAATGTTAGCGCTGGTTACCTGTCAGCCACTTTGCTAAGCACTTGATAGATATTATTTGCTTCTTATAATGCTCCTGGGAGGTAATGCTTTAAAATGTTTTCTCATTTTAAAGATGGGGAAACTGAGGCTAAGGTAACACAGGGGCAGATCTGGTGTTTGACCTTGGGCCAGCCACTCTGCACTGAAGTCCATGAACTTGACCCTTCTCCCCTTCTGCTTCTCGTTTTTCATAACTGTGTGTTTCTTCAGCTCTTTATTGCTATTGCATCTTCCCAGTTTGTCTCTTTTTGTTACATTCTTTAGAACCATTTATGTTTTTCTCATTTTTACCTTCTTGCTGAACTGACCTTTAGTTTTCTTTTCCTTTGGTGTCCACTTTTAGTAAAGTAATCTCATAAAATTTGGCCCGTATTATTAATATTTCAGTAAACTTATCTCTCAGGAAATTGTTGACTGGAAAAAAATAGCCGCAAAAAATAAATGTAAAAACATGCTATTGGGCTGGGCGCGGCAGCTCATGCCTGTAATCCCAGCACTTTGGGAGGCTGAGGCGAGCGGATCACCTAAGGTTAAGGAGTTCAAGACCAGCCTGGCCAACACGGTGAAACCCTGTCTCTACTAAAAATACAAAAAAAAATGAGCTGGGCGTGGTGGTGGGCTCCTGTAATCCCAGCTACCAGGGAGGCTGGGGCAGGAGGATTGCTTGAACCTGGGAGGTGGAGGTTGCAGTCAGCCAAGATCGCACCACTGTACTCCAGCCTGGGCGACAGAGCAAGACTCCACCTCAAAAAAAAAAAAGAAAAAAGCATGCTATCTTTTCAACTATGGGAATAATCTTTTTCTCTAATTTGTAAAATATGTTCAAAGATTTTGTGTCATAAGTTTTGGGGGAGAATTGCATAGAAGCTTGATTTATGGCGTTGCATATACCATTAATGTTTGTATGCATAATCATGAACTTTACAAGTTTCTAGGAAAACATTCAAGGATTTTGTTGTCAGTAAAATTCAGAACAACAGAGTTATACTAGATGTCTAAAATGTATGCTGAATCAGTAGGCTACTTTTTCTGTAGTTTTTATATTTTGTTTAATTTTTAAAAAGTTAATAATTTAAAAATTGATAGGCGTAGCCATATTGGAAAGACAAAATGGGATGGTCATTTCAGAAAGTGTATTTTGATATTTTATTTTTGCAAGTATTTTTCAGGCTAGAAGACATACCAATGATATCTTAAAAGGGTTTCATTTGCCTCTGTTGTGAATATAGAATCTATATTGATACAGAATGATACAACCTTAGTCATCTAGCAAAGTGTGTGTTTTGTTTTGAAGGATAAGCAAGTCAGTTGTTGCCTCCTCTAACCTACATGAGTTTATTGCTCCAACTATAGGATTATAGAAGAGTATTCTCAAGTGATCCCATTTTGTAATACATTTTTGTTTATTTCTGTGTGTATCTCATATATGCACATGTACAAAAGCATAGAAAACATTGCGGAGGGACACACATTCAACTGCAACAGTAATTACATCTAAAGAATATGGCTGCCACGGTGGCTCACGCCTGTAATCCCAGCACTTTGGGAGGCTGAGGTGGGTGGAATCCTTGAGGCCAGGAGTTCAAGAACAGCCTGACCAATATAGTGAAACCCCACCTCTACTAAAAATACAAAAATTAGCCAGGTGTGATGGTGCATGCCTGTAATCCCAGCTACTCAGGAGACTGAGGCAGGAGAATTATCGCTTGAATCCGGGAGGCGGAGGTCGCAGTGAGCTGAGATTGCACCACCGCACTCCAGCGTGGGTGATAGAGCAAGACTGCATCTCAAAAAATAAAATAAAAGAAAACTGGCCAGGTGCAGTGACTCATGACTGTAATTCCAACACTTTGGGAGGCTGAGGTGGGCAGTTCACCTCAGGTCAGAAGTTCGAGACCATCCTAACCAAGATGGTAAAACCCTGTCTCTACTAAAAATACAAAAATTAGCCAGGCATGGTGATGGGCACCTGTAATCCCAGCAACTTGGGAGGCTGAGGCAGGAGAATCGCTTGAACCTGGGAGGCAAAGGTTGCGGTGAGCTGAGATCGCACCACTGCACTCCAGCCTGGATGACAGAGTGAGACTCCGTCTTAAAAATAAATAAATAAATAAAATTTAAAAATGAAAAAATATAATTGGGGTTGGGAGTTCGAGGGAACAAGGAAGCCCTTCTACTTTTATACCATATATTTCTATATTGTTTGAATTTTTTTCAACAAGCATAAGTAACGTTTGCCCAACAAATTAATAAAAACAGCATTAGTTACAATAAATCTTGTTTATATTCCAGTTCCACAGCCTCCTAGATTAGAACCTCAGGAACCAAATTCTGCCACCAGCACAACGATTGCAGTTTATTGGAGCATGAACAAGGATGATGTCATTGATTCATTTCAGGTTTACTGCATGGAGGAGCCACAAGATGACCAAGAAGTAAATGGTAGGATTGCTAACACAAATACAAATGCATACGCATATTCAGGCATCTTCATGTGAAGTATTTAAACATATACCTGTATTGTGACTCTTCCCACAAAGCATTTATAGCTGCTTACAAAACAATAACAAAACCCCAACAACTGTATAATGAAATAATAACTACAGAAGCAAAATTTGGGAATCGAGATCAAGGAAAACAATACAAAAATTAGCCAGGCATGGTGATGGGCACCTGTAATCCCAGCAACTTGGGAGGCTGAGGCAGGAGAATCGCTTGAACCTGGGAGGTGGAGGTTGCAGTCAGCCAAGATCGCACCACTGTACTCCAGCCTGGGCGACAGAGCAAGACTCCACCTCAAAAAAAAAAGAAAAAAGCATGCTATCTTTTCAACTATGGGAATAATCTTTTTCTCTAATTTGTAAAATATGTTCAAAGATTTTGTGTCATAAGT